GACTAGCTGCCTTCCCTCTGTCTATCGCTGTTAAATTAAGGATAACTAGCGCAGATAGCCTTCGTGTAGCTTTGCGCGAAATTCAAAAAAAGTTTTGAATAAACGATCCATAAATATTAGATGTTTTAATAAAAAAAAATTAAGAAGTTTTGAATAAATTATCCAAAATTTAACAATAGTTGTAGGTTCACTGGTTTATTGGGAAGCAAAACAATGCCGAAATATCTGACAATTTGCAGATATTAGTGGCGCCGCGAAACGTAGGTTAAAAATAACTATTATAAAAAGTCTGAAGTATGTCATGTTATCTCATGCTCTAAATTTAGGACATTTCTAGATAATCACATAAACAGTCTCCTGGTTCTGGTGAACTACCTAAATATATGTTTTCAAAACCATCCAGCTGATTTTTAATTAAATAAACAAACTACAAACGCCAATACGAGTTAGAAACATTTTTTAACGAAATATATAAATATAATTGACGCTAAATATCTGAATCATGGAGAAAATTTTTTAGCGTATACAACTAGTAAGACGATAGCCAGTTGATACATTGGTTAGAGATCACCGGCACTAACTTTACACGTTTTTCTACACGCTAATGGGCAGCTATAAGTTAGTTATTTTTTATTCTGTTGTTGTTGTTTCAGCGCAAAGCTACACATTGGGTTCTCAGCGCTTTGTCCACTATGTTGTAACTTCGTAAACTTACTGCTGACCCACCGCTGAACCTGTATTCGAGACACCTATTATTAGTTTGATATAACAGAATTTAAGTACTATACTGTTCCTCTGAAGATATGCTTAACGTGACAAAGAGTGGCAAGCATCTAACAAAAATTTCCTAGTTTACTAATCACGAACTGGTGTATATTTATCCGTGGCATAGCGACTCATAGAATGTTTCACGGTTTCTTTTTTCAAGTACAAACTTTTAGCTCATAGCTCCATCATCTCTTGACCGATTTGAGATCTAATTACAGTTTTGGACTTAGGATATCAAATCCTTTGGATTAGTTTATTTGACCACGTCCAAGGTCTCATAGATTAATTTGTCTAATCCTGTCTAGAAGAATTTCAATTTGAGGGTAGGCTGGTAGAGATCCTGATGAGTAATAAAATCGAATCGGGTATATGCACCCCACACTTAGTATTGCTGGTGCACAAAAATATAGCTAATAGAAGGGGAAAAATATGTCTTATAGATTAATTTACTCTAATCCTGACTAAAGGAATTTCAAGTGCCGCGGCTACTGAGGATTCCCTCTTGTTTTATAATGTAAAAATTCTAAACTATAGTAAAAAAAACACATTTATTTATAAAGATAAATGCAATATTTGTATGAGAGTCTATCATTTATGTTGCCTTCAATAACATTTTATACATTACATGTTATACGCATGATCTTTTCTGGACAAAATCTGATATAACTTTTCTGAGTGGTAATTTGTATTTTTTGTAAATGTTTTTTTTTAAAAATGCACGCGGTTAAGTCGCAGTCGATCATGATCGGGATTTAGGTCTTTAAAGATCAGGGAGGGTCAGGTTCTTGTGACCTCTTCCTCCCCACGAAGTTAATTTCAAGAGTCTTTTGTAAACTGAACTGGCCGAGAATAGCCTAATGGTTAATGTACCGGGCTGCTGATATCAAAAACTGCTGAACACGTACCTTACTTTTAGCCGTGGGGACTTTATATACCCATAATAGCCAATCCTGTATTTTGTTAAGAGTATCTACATCATGATAAGCAGCTGTGTAACGAATTTGTCGTCATTTATTTATTTTTAATATGAACGTTGTTTAGATTAAATTTGTATTTTAAAATTTGCGTAACTTGTACCGTCAGATATGCATTGCGTGTGACGAATTCGTTATATATATATATATATTTATTTATTCACCCCCCCCAGTGGCACAGCGGTATGTCTGCGGACTTATAACGCTAAAAACCGGGTTTCGATACCAGTGGTGGGTAGAGCACAGATATTCCATTGTGTAGCTTTGTGCTTAATTCCAAACAAACAAACAAAATATATTTATTTTGATGTCAACGTTTGTTGGGATTTAGTTTATGTGTAAAAAAGTGTCTAGTTCACTGTGTTAGTTACGTATGGCGAAACTCCCGCCAATTCTCCAAGATTGTAGAATATTCGTGAACGCAAGAATCGACAATATATCCACTTCTGTAACCGGTTAGATATAGTTCAGTGTTGTCTGATCTTTCGAGAAAACATTTCTCGCGTATATAAAAAGACCAAGGCCAAAGAATAGAGCATACAAGTCTGCTAGGAACTCGTTATAACCGTGTAAGCTATAAACCGTGATTTTGCTAACCCTTATCAACCGAAAAATATACGACATTTGACCAGGAACAGTTATAAATTTCGAGCGTCAATGGATTCTCATTGGACGTTAGTATCTCTCCGAAAGTATTATTGAATTCTCATCGAACGTTAGTGGTTTTATGAAAATATTATCTTACTTCGATGGTCCAACAATTCAGTGCCCCGTCACACCAAACATGCTTGCCCTTTCAGCCGTGGGGCGTTATAATGTGACGGTCAATCCCACTATTCGTTGGTAAAAGAGTAGCCCAAGAGTTGGCGGTGGGTGGTGATGACTAGCTGCCTTCCCTCTAGTCTTACACTGCTAAATTAGAGACGGCTAGCGCAGATAGTCCTCGTGTAGCTTTGCGCGAAATTCAAAACAAACAAACAAATAAACTCTGATTTGGCTCTTTAATACGAGTGTCACATAAGGTGCAGCTCAGGTCGAGAGTACTAAATATTTTAAGGTGAAATAAATCGGGTTTAAAATCAGTTTCATACAGCTCTTTTAAAACACACAAATCAGGTTTATACAGCTCTTTTAAAACACACAAATCAGTTTCATACACCTCTTTTAAAACACACAAATCAGTTTCATACAGCTCTTTTAAAACTCGCAAATCAGGTTCATACACCTCTTTTAAAACACACAAATCAGTTTCATACAGCTCTTTTTAAAAGACACAAATCAGTTTCATACACCTCTTTTAAAAGACACAAATCAGTTTCATACAGCTTTTTTAAAACTCACAAATTCTTACTTGCACTTCATCTTTAGTTTGAAATTCACAAGGCCTGAAACCAGTAAAGTTTCTCCAGTGCTGTTTTATACAATTTGTTTGTCGTGTTTTTTCTGCACAAAACTACACATGGGGCTACCTGCGTTCTGTCCACTGCGGTGAATCGAACCCCGGATTTTAGCGTTGTAAATCTGTGAATTTACAGCTGAACCACAATGGGCTCTACGGTTTGAAATGTAAAGCTTTCACTGGCATACTGAATATCTCTGGTGACTTAAAATTCGGTACGAAAACTAAATAAATTGTAAAATCAAATTTACCATAACCGTTACGGTACTTTACTGTACAATATTTAAAACAAACTGATATCATACTGACCGTTTTCAGTACAGTGCAAAATTGTTTTTTTAAGTCACTACATCAGTATGATCATCTCTATCATTAGACTACTGTAAAATATATAAATGATACATTTTCGAAAAAATATGGACCACTTCTAGCATAATAGAAAGCTATATAACATATGAATATTTTAATTATCTTATCATACACTGACCATCCCCATTCTTGTACATTAAGGTATAGTAGACCACTGTAGAATATGAAAATATTAAACAGTAGGCAAAGTGTTTGACTTTTTTGGGGGAGGGGGAAGGTAGCTGACGTAAAAACAAAGTAGGTTTGTTTGTTTTTGTAGTCAAGCACGAAGCTACACAATAGGCTATCTGTGCTGTGCCAGCCACGGGTATCGGAACCCGGAGTGTCACCACCGTACCACTGGGGGGCAACAAATACCTTAGAACATGAAACATAAATCTTTAGTCATCACCACAAACGAGTTTGTACGTTAAAACGTTATACTCGCCACAAATTTTTATCGTTCTTTAGAAATGAATATTATTCATTTTTGACATCATAATATTCATCTTCAGTCAGACCTTCAGAGCATGCAAGGTAATGATCATTTCCATCCGTGAAAGTAAGAAAGTTCAAAGGTTAAAATGAACTCATCGTACTTTTCGAGCATGTAAAAAGAGACCTTTAACACTTTGTTGTTTATTTTTGTCTATTACAACACTCACTGTTATTAACTGCAGTATTTATAGTATTTTTGTTTAAACTTTTGTGTATGACTCATAAATTATTAAGAACCCTTTAACCCAAAAGTTTTGAACACACGAGCAACTTGGGGCATAAATAGCTTAGAAAAATCTGTTATTCTATGGTGGGGTACAAAATTAATAATGCTTTTAACATTGTATTATTGACTACCTGTGATGCCATTCTGTACTGTAACACCGTAGATTAAGGTATAGATAAGGCTAACGAGTAAAAAACTTCCAACATCATACCGACTACATCCAAAAAAACCTTGTGACATCACGTAAAGAACATTGGGTACCTGGTGCTTATTTGATAGCGTGAAAGTAGAACTTTTCGATAATATACTAGCCAAATAATGCACCGTACTGTACAAAAATGGGATGTAAAACTTCCAGTTTTCATCTATACGTTATTATTTTGATAGTTTAAATTGTTTTATTTTTGCAAAAGTTTGATAACAAAAAATATGTTTAAAGAATATTCTTTGTACAGAATGTTACAAAGTTCTTTTTACAGAATATTACAAGTCATTCGTTGAATTCATGTAGAAGTATGTTTCGAGGCTTCTACTACTATTTAAAGTTTTGTAGTAGTGACGTGGAAGCAATCATTAAAAAATTGTTAAGATTGATATTGACGTATTTTCTAATATAACGTAACTTAAAGTAGATTTTTTTTCCTGCACTTGATTGTCTGTATATTGTACAAATAAACTTACTTGAAAACCCTAACCCTGGTCTTCACCACTAAGCTATTCCAATACTTACTTCTTAGTGATACTTAGCTTAACGATAATAAGACAGTGAGTTTTGGAAGAAGACTTTTGAAAATGAAGATTTGGCTAATCTATTAAGAAAAAAACAACAACATAAGTTCAACAGGCACATATTCCATATTTTTACCATCAGTATCCGACGCCTGACTTCTCCCACTTGAGAAAAATGTATTTCCCGATTGAACCACCATGTCCAAGTTTAGATGCTTTTAGAAGGGTGTTTCAAAATTGCTACCCATCATCCAATCATTTTTAACTATTTGTGATTCATGTTAATTACACTTGCTAGGCATAGTTAACATGATTATTTTCAAGGCCAAGTCGTGTTTTGACAAGCAATGCGCTTGTTTACTTAAGTGTTCATCTACAGTTGGTCTTGTGCCAAATTTTACACATGACCACATTTACCCGTTCTGTTCATCGTTAATTCTTCTGTCTCTTTAATAGTTGGAACTAACCTGACGGGTTAACATCGGGGAATGCTTACTTTCTTTGGATGTTTTTTTTCCCTTTCGTTTCATTCACAAGGTGGCGTAATTTAACGTCAAGCGATTCCTCTCTTGTTTGTAAAACATTATGTGGATTTTTTTTACATGTTTACATATCATGCACACGATCTCGTGTTTTGAATTTTTTGTTTCTAATAATAATAATAACCCGTTAAGAAAAATTTACATGTTTGTAAATTAAATCGTTAAAAAAATAACAACAATGGTAATACAGTAATTGAGTACGTTATATCAAAACGATTTTGTAGCTTCACTACGTCGCTGCAGTCCATGTCGACACCTCCAGTCGTGCTCTGTCTGACATCTATGTATCTTGACAATAGTCCTGCAGTATAGTTATTATTGCAAAGTGTTCCACCTCAATGGCTGTCATGTTCAAAGCATACATCCTCTTCCCTACAAGCTTTCCATAAGTCATCTTGTGTATTAATTAAGACGACAGGTTCCCAACGTACGTTTTAACAGTTCGATCGCACAGAAATCCGTAGGCAATTTGGCCGGTATGTTTTCGTACAGAATAGCATGAATACCCGTTTCATTCTCCTTCTGCTTGAGGTATGTGACAGTTGACCTAAACATGTTATGAAACAACATGTGTACTCATGACTTGTGTCACTTATTTCGAGACAGAGATCCTTCTTACTTATGTTATGTACTGTTGCATGAGACACGTAGGCGGTTTTTGTTTCTGACCTTTATATTCATGGATTCTCACCTGTTACAAGATGCCACATTTTCCTTAACATCACGGCTGGGGTAGAACTTGTTGTAGGTCTCTTGCTGAATGGTTCTGATACTCTAAGTTCATCCATATTTCTTTGTTTTCCAGTGCCATTAAGTACAAGGAAAATCTAAATAATCTATCTGAACACATGTTATGATCTAGGTGTTTGTGAATATTTTGCGTAGGAAAGGGTTGTTGCATATCCTTTGCAAAAGCGATCAGTTTTCAGCATCATACTACCATAACGCCAAACAATGTCAAACTGTAGTTCTGATACATTCCACTGGCTGATTTGCATATTCAAAGTAATTTTAATATAACATAGTCATTCCTTTGTGAATTGGCTGTTATTCTAAACTGTAACAAGCATTCAGAAGAGCACTTTATGTAAAGAACAAGACAGCCTACCAAAAAATTTGATTTGATATATTTAAAAAAAGTGTTTCACCAGTGCATAAAATATTTTATGATAATTTTCCTACACTTCAAGATATTCTGTTGTGTCGTAATATATTATATAA